TGGGTGGTCAATGAAAAGCTCGTCCAGGCGCTAGGCTTTGCCAATAACGAAGAAGCGTTGGGAAAAAGATTCTGGGCGGGAATAAATGGATGGCACCCGGAAATTACCGGTGTTGTCGCAGATTTCAATATCGGTTCACTCCGCGAAGAGATCAAACCTACACTCATCACACAATACCTTCCTTATTGTGAAAAAGTGGGGATCAAGATTGCGAAGGGAACCGACATACCCGCTACGATTGCAAGCATTAATGGCGCCTTTAAAGATGTATTTCCTTCAGGCATTTTTGAATACAATTTTCTGGATCAACAGCTTGATGCATTGTACAAATCAGAGGAAAGATTGTACTCGCTTTTTAAAATATTTTCGAGTTTGGCCATGCTGATATCCTGCCTTGGACTTTGGGGTCTCATCACATTTGCCGCGCAACGACGAGTAAAAGAAATTGGTGTGAGGAAAGTATTAGGAGCATCTGTACCAGCCATTGTTACGATGCTGGCTAAAGACTTTGTCATTCTTGTTATTATTTCCATTCTTATTGCTTCGCCACTTGCTTATTGGGGGATCAGTAAGTGGTTACAGGATTTTGCATTCAGGATCGATATTGGCTGGGTGGCGTTTGCTATATCCGGTGGGCTTGCGATATTGATAGCGATAGCGACCGTCAGTGTACAAGCCATCAGGGCTGCAATGGCGAACCCGATAAAATCACTGAGAACTGAATAGAATAACTGTTAATTAAATCATTCAAATAATACCGATGGTTAAGAATTATATACTGATTGCGTGGCGAAATATAAAGAGGCAAAAGGGATATTCAGCCATCAATATTCTTGGGCTTGCTTTTGGTATTACCGCCTGTCTTCTTATACTTCAGTATGTAAATTTTGAACTTAGTTACGAAAATTTTCAGCAGAAAAAGGATCGCCTGTATCGCATCAGGCAGGACCGGTATGATAATGGAAAACTCAGTACACAATGGGCTGCCGGAGCGTATGCGATTGGGAACAGTTTCAAAGACGCGATCCCCGAAATCGAGGAGTATGTGAAAGTGATACCTAACGGACAGGTCGTCGCTACCGTACAGAATCAACCGGTCAAAATCAAAGAGGTTTTCTTTGCTTCACCAGCATTCTTTGATGTCTTTACATTGCCTTTGAAAGAAGGAAGTGCTGAAAAAGCATTGACGGAACCGTATAGCGCCGCCATATCTGTCGCTACAGCAAAGAAGTTGTTTGGCACTGCAAATG